ATGATCATTCCAAATCCAAACCAAAAAGGCCAAAGTCGAAGCAAAAAGGCCAACATCGCTTCCAAAAAGGCTCCAGTCTATAATCCGTTTGGATTAGTTAACAAGACCAAACTGAAGCAGCTCGCTGATTGGTTGAAAACTGATCCGTAAGTGATCCATGATAGCTTGCTTTTTAGTCTACAAAACTGATTTCTGACTGAACATTTTGTGTTTGCAGCTGGTATGACACACCTTTCGACGATAAACCACGTACAACGCCAACTAAGTGGTATTACACCTTCCGAGCCTCCTTATCTTGGCTGCATGACTGTGTAAGTGTATCTTCTGACTATAATTCCACGTAGACGACTTACCGTTAAGTCGTCTTCTAAGTATTCTACGTAGACGACTTATCAGACGACTTACCGTTAAGTCGTCTGGTAAGTCTTCTTTGTAGACGACTTGCCATTAAGTCGTCTGTTAAGTCGTCTGATAAGTCGTCTGTTAAGTCGTTCACAAAGTTCTCCAGAAAACTCGAAAAATCTTCTGGACAACTTTGATTATCCTGGACGACTTTAATCTAAGTCGTCTGAGCGGTCGAATTTTCATTAAGTCGTCTGGAGAAGTTAAAAATTTAAGTTTTATTTTTGATTTGCAAAACTAACCTGAGACGACTTATAATTAAGTCGTCTAGATTTAATAAAATATTGAAATTTTAACTTTCCCAGGGACGACTTAATTTTAAGTCGTCCAGAAAAAGTCAAATATCTGACACAATTCGGTCAAAAGCAAAAGTAGACCCAAAATAGATCTGCTGAATATTAATTCAGCAGACCTCAAAAAATTTTAACAAACAAAGCTGGACGACTTAGAAGTAAGTCGTCCGTTTGACCAGAAGACTTATCCGTAAGTCTTCTACATCCAGAAGACTTACGGGTAAGTCTTCTACGCGAAGAGATCTGGAAAAAAATTCAATTTCAAACCTTAAACTAGATGACTTCCTTTGCACACAGAGTCTTCTCCAACCACCCAGAACATCGAACGAAAGTAACCCACCAACAATAGTATGCTTAAATGGCTCTATCAACCATAAAAAATTTGCTATCAAAAGCTTGGGTTTTTGGAATGAATATGGAGACAAAGTTAAGGAAATGTTGTTTTTAGTTCATAACAATTGAGAAAGAGAGTATGAGTATCGATTTTAAGTGCATTAAAAGCTTCAAACCTTGGTTGTACAAGGTTGTTGGGTTGTACAAGGTTGTTGGAAGTATTAATGGCAATGGCAATGTTGTAAATACTTGAAGATGATGAGGTTGAGAGAGTAAAAAGGCCATTTTCGAAAAAAAGTTAAAAAAAAAATTCAATGGCATTTTCGTAAATAAAATGAAGATGTGGGGTGGATAGGACAAAAACAAGATGAGTTAAAAGAAAAAGTTAGTTTTGTGTTTGACCATGAGTTCTGAGTCAAATTTGCAAAAACCCCTACTTTTGGATTTGATTCATGTTTGGGTTTATTTTTGCATTTGAAACCAATTTTTGAGTCATATTTGGCAAATTTCCTTAGATTTAAGGTGATATTTTAAAGGTAAATTTTAAAATTTTCATAAAATATAAATAAATATTTAAAATAAAATAAAACTTAAATAGTTTCAAAAAACAATTTCGAATTTCAAAATGAAAATTCAAAAAAAAATCAAAAAAAAATTTGAAGAAAAAATACAAAATAAAAATCCAAAAAAAAAATTAGAAAAAGTTCAAATTTTAGAAAGTTAAATTTGAAAACTTTAAAAAATATATTTTTTATTTTTATTTTTTTATTATTTAAATAATTATTTATATTTATAAATTAAAGATATAAATTTTTTTATCTCCGAAAGGAATCTTACGTTTAGGTATTTTTGAAAAAGGTTAATTAGAGAAGGTAAACATGAATAAAGATACTTTTATTAGAAGATAAAAGTTAAATTCTCCGTACTTTTTTCGGTCAAATTGAAATTCATTCAGTAGTAGTTTATCAATGATCATACAATGCTGGCGGCAAAACGAAATAGCCCGAGAAGCAAGAGCCCATAGGTAGCGGCAACTAAAACCCACGCAGGGGTGATTTTAACCCACACAAGGGTGACTTGATAAGAAAAACAACAAGCATAAAGATTAACACGACACTATGACCACCAGAACGGTAAAATCTACGCACAAGCCACATAATAAACCCAAACACACAGGCCACATACCAACATCGAAATATGAAACGAATCCTAATACTCCTTCAAAAAACCTAGAACCAAACACTCAATAAATACAAGAACAATGACTTAGAAAAGACTATGACTAGCCGGGGAAGTTGCAATGAAATGAGCACCAGAACACGCAATGTAGAAGACTTCTTCGTGAAGATCAGAGATCTCATCTGAACCATATGTTCACGATGACAATATGTACCACAATGGTCTCATCTGAACCACAAGAACCACAAGTTCACAATGATAACCAACGAACCACTACGCCTATACGAAGGCAGAAACCGAGAAAAACAACAACCAAAGGAATACACAACTCTAACACACTTTCATCTGGAAGCCTTCGCACCTCAGCCTCATTATATTGCTTCATAAAAGGAAGCCACCGAGAGAAAATAGAGAGCAAAAGCAGACCAGGGAGATCACTTATTAAAAAGGACGAGAGGAAGACCACTTCATAAACTAAGAAATGAAAATGTAACCTTGAACCCAATTCATCATTAAGACCAGAACCTTCACCAGCTCAACACACACCACCACGTCACTTTATCACCATTGCTAAATCAAAGACCAACTAAGCCACACTCCCAAAATCCAGAGATAAGAACCGGATTCAAACCCATTCAAACTGTCGGGAATCCACTCGAAAACGACTGGAGACACAGCCACTACAAAACAGGAGATCCACCAAAGCTTTTAAGCTTACCTCAACTGGAATCTCAGATGGAGGTCGGAGAATGGTGCAAACGTATACACCACCAACATACACCCTTCCACACTTCCAGATCTTCCAAAAACTCAACAGATCTGATAATACAGAGATTCTTCAAACCACTTTGCAGTATATTGGGTAAAAGAGACAGCTTTAAGAGAAGGAGACGAAGAAGGAGAAGAAGAAGATACAAACGCAAACAAGACAAAAAAACGACTTTAAAGAACTAGATCAGGTGACCGCGAGAAGCGGCGGCCACTGGATTACGGTTTCAATGTGAGAGCTTTCTACAGAGAGATTTTTTTTTTCTTTCTCGAGTTCAATTACTGAATGAAATTCTCCGTACTTATTTTGAGAAATGTTTTGAAGAAAAAAATAACATGAGTCAAAACTGGATGGCAGAAAAGTAAATTTAATGTGGGTTTCTCTCTCTTCTTAGAGAGAGAAAAATCTCTCTGACCCTCTTACCAATACAAAATCTTTCAGAGGGTGGAATATTAATCCGATTCTTTTTTGATGTTATACAGTTTCGATCGATGATCGATTTTATTTTTCCGGTTGCGGATTTTCTCTTCGGTTAGCATATTTTGTTGTGTTTTCAAATCCAACCAAAGTTGATTTTCAAGCTTTTGTTCTTGTCTTTGATTTGATTTGAGTCAAATAAAGTTAGATCTCTTCTCTTCCTCCTTGATCTTAATTTTATATACCGATTGAAGCAAAGGATCTTGCCTTTCATTGGTCATGCTTGATCGTTTTGTTTAGAAGGGAATCAATCTTTGCTTGGTTTTGCAAAGTATCTTTTATGGACAAAGTGCTCAAGTTTTTCGATCTTATGTTGAGGTATTTGAACATGTTCAGCAAAGAAGGAGCTTTCTTAATGAAGGTGTTCTATCATAGGATATATGTTTAAATCCCATGACAATTTCGCTAAGTTTCAACCTCCGACGATTTAGTGAATGGAGTCTTCAGCTTCAACCGTAGTACAGGAGAAGAGTTTACAAGTTGGTTAGGGTTTGAATTGACGACATGGCGTGAAGAAGGGTATGATAATCGGCTCTAGTAAAAATACGGCGGAGGAGCATTTTGGACAAGCTTGACTGCTGTGGTGAAGACCTTGTTTTTGCATAACTAACGCGTGTCTCAACACATGTCATGAGATGAAACCAGAAGATAAGAGCATCCCCATTGAAGGTTCATGGGGGGAGTTCACACGGAAATCAAGAAAAAAAATAATAAAATAACTAAAACCTATGAACCCCTCTCTCCTAAAGTTCACTCCAGTGAACCCCTCTCTCCTGAGGTTCAACACGTGGCGGCTCGAGATTGGTCTAGATTTTTTTTTTTTTTTTTTTAAAAAAAATAAAAAAAAAACAGAAAATTTTTAATAATAAAAAAATGATTCAATGAACCCCAAGAGGGGGTTCATTGATGTGGATGCTCTAACGCATGGTAATGAATTAGGTTTAAAGCATGTTAAACTAGATTCTAACCCGCCCTAAAGGGCGGAACTTATTTTTTCAAATTTTAATTTTAATATATGTTATAGAATATGTGTATATAATATTATATATTGTGTGTAATATATATATATATTTATATTTTTGACATATATATAATATATTGAACCTCTTATTAATCTTTGTATTGAGAACATGTTAGACATTTATTCTCTTATGGTTCAGTTTTGTACAAACTATTTATGTTAAGAGATAACCAAATATCTTTTAAAGATGTAATTAGTTAAATTCAATTGATCTACATCGGTTAAGACTTGGTTTAATTTAAGTTGGTAGGTTATATTTTGTAGGAGACATGATATATTCTAGTAACAATTATGAAAGAGTCCAAATTTAAATAACAACTTTAAGTAGTAGATAAAAACCAATCCCTAAATTAATAGATTAGATTTATGTAATGTAATATATTGGGCCTGTTCGTTTTATAAGCCCGACTACTTGTAAGTTTGCCAGCTGGGCTTCTCTTTAATAGAGAATGCTGTTGACAAAAAAAAAAAAAAAAGTAAATTTAAAGCAATAATCAAATTTAAGTGACAAGAAAAACGCAAAACCCAGAGTCACGTTAAGAAGACTCGGCCCACTTTTCTTGAAGAGTCTTCGCTTGATGACTCCCTCGTTTCACCGATACTGCTTTTGTAATTCTTGATTTTGTAATCCGAAGTCGAAGCTCGAGTGCTCGAGTCTTTCTCAGTGAAGACTTCTAAACTTTTCCCAGATGTTAGAAAGTTTTGATATTTAAAAGTTGGGTTGCTTTTAAGTTTAGTAGTTTGTGCTGATGGCAAATCCTTGGAAGAAGCAGAGATTGAAAGATTCGACTTTATGCCGTGTAGGGATTCTATTTGCAGTTACAGTCTCTATAGTTCTCATGTTGATGTTGGTGTCTGTACCCAGAACAGCTTCGAATAGGAGATTCTCCGACAGTGGTTTGGATGATTTCGGCAAAGATTTGGAAGTTAACCTTAACACTTCATTGCTAAGAGTTGCTAGAGAGAATAGAATGTCGCTTAGGTTGCATAAAAGGAACCTTTTACCTCCGAGGAATCTAGATCTGTACCCGGATTTGGCGAAAGACCACGTGGTTATCGTCTTATACGTGCACAATCGGGCTCAGTATTTTCGAGTAACTGTGGATAGCTTGTCCAAGGTTAAGGGAATAAGCGAGACACTATTGATTGTTAGCCATGATGGTTACTTTGAAGAGATGAACAAGATTGTGGAGAGTATTAAATTTTGTCAGGTGAAACAGATATTCTCTCCCTATTCTCCTCACATATTTCAAGGTAGCTTCCCCGGTGTGACCGCGAGTGACTGTAAGAACAAAGGTGATGAGGCAAAGACGCATTGTGAAGGCAATCCGGATCAGTATGGGAATCACCGGTCTCCAAAGATTGTATCTTTGAAGCATCACTGGTGGTGGATGATGAACACTGTATGGGATGGAATGGTGGAGACTGAAGATCACAAGGGTCATATCCTTTTCATCGAGGAAGATCATTTTCTTTTTCCTAATGCTTATCGCAATATACAGACTCTCACGAGCCTGAAACCAGCGAAATGTCCCGACTGCTTTGCTGCTAATTTAGCACCCTCTGATGTGAAATCAAGAGGAGAAGGGCTTGAGTTTTTGGTTGCAGAGAGAATGGGAAATGTTGGGTACTCTTTTAACAGAAGTGTGTGGAAAAATATACACCAGAAGGCGAGAGAGTTTTGTTTCTTTGATGATTACAATTGGGATATAACCATGTGGGCGACTGTTTTCCCCTCTTTTGGTTCCCCTGTTTACACGTTGAGAGGGCCTAGGACCAGTGCGGTTCACTTTGGAAAATGTGGATTGCATCAAGGTAGAGGTGAGGAAGGAGATTGTATCGATAATGGGGTGGTAAATATCGAGGTCAAGGAAACAGATAAAGTTGTGAACATCAAGGAAGAATGGGGAGTTAAGGTGTTTAAACACCAAGCTGGTTATAAAGCTGGTTTCAAAGGTTGGGGAGGTTGGGGCGACAAAAGAGATCAACGTTTGTGTTTGGATTTTGCCACTATGTATCGTTCGTAAAAACGTGGATCATCTCCATGAATGAAGCTTAAGGACGTCCAAGTAAATTTGGTAATATAATCAGAAAACCTTTTGGGGACCTGCTTCTTTCTTTTTTTTCTTACGTGGTATTGAGGGCATTGTGTTTCTTGTTGTATTTTGATTGTTATGTCTTGTTTGTATTACTAGTATTGCTCTTTCTATGCAAGCTTCTGTCGCCTTTCTTACTTGTTGACAATAGCTTCATAGTTGATGGAATCTTGAGTCACTTGCGATTTGTATACATTTGGTTTGAAGCTAGTTGTTCTTTGCTATATCTTTCGACCAAACTTGTGCCCCTATATATGCTAGCTAGCTAGTATACTCAGCCAAAAGCTAGCTGATGAGTTGATTATGTGACACAACCCAACATTACTTAGAATAAGGCTGGTTCTGCTTTTTTAATGTGCTGAATACCTTTTTCTCAAGAAATTAGAGAATCCGATTTTCTTTAGTCTTTGGCTAATTAGTCAGTGTGCATCTGGAAAATCACGTAGTTACTCATGTATTGTGTGTACTAGTTGCATATTCCCTACGCAAGCGCGGAGCCGTGATCATTATGTTTGCGTATATTTTTTTCGATTGTTGTTTTAGTGGATTCTTCTAATGTCACCGAATAATAATGAAATGGAAAGAATGTATTAAGAGTGCAAAGTGAAAATTTTGTATATCTAATGTGTTAAATGTTATTTATATGCGAAGTAAGGTTTATATGAATAGTTATGCTATAATATAGTTTTTAGTGTGTAATAATCGTAGTGTCTAATTTCTTGAGAATAATATAAATTTGGTGTCTATTTTTATTTTACTGTAAATAATTTTTATATCGTATGTCAAAACTTGATATAATTCTATATTTATAGTATTTATATTTGTATTAAATGATTTATCAATTTGAAAATAACCTTAATTAAGTTAATATTCGTTGTTTAAGTTTCATTAGATAGGTTTTTTTATATGGTTTTTTGTAAGTTTGAGTTTTGTTCATAAATGATGTGGCATTTTTATCTACGGCATCATCGACTGTGGGAATCCATTCGCCGAAGTCTGGAGTCGGTGGTGAAGAATGTTTTCAATGAAATTATAGTATTTATTAAAATGTAAGAGAAATTACATATTCATTTAATAAATAACGAAAAATACTTAAATTATTTTGTTTATTTTATTTTATTTCACATACAAATTTTTTGAAAATATATTAGGAATGTGTTAAATGTTATTTATATGCGAAGTAAGGTTTATAGGAATAGTTAGGCTATAATATAGATTTTAGTGTGTAAAAGTAGGTGCTTTCTTTTTTGCTGTAAATAGTTTTTATATCATAGGTTAAAACTTGATATAACTCTATATTTATAGTATTTATATTTGTATAAAATGATTTATTAATTTGAAAATAACTTTAATTAAGTTAATATTCGTTGTTTAAGTTTCATTATATAGGTTTTTATATATGGTTTTTTTGTAAGTGTGAGTTTTGTTCATAAATGATGTGGCATTTTTATCTACGGTGTAATCGACTGTGGGAATCCATTCGCCGGAGTCTGAAATCGGTGGTGAGGAATGTTTTCAATGAAATTATAGTAGTTATTAAAATGTAAGAGAAATTACATATTCATTTAATAAATAACGAAAATAATTAATTTTTGTTATTTTTTATTTTATCTCACACACAAATTTTTTGAAAATATATATTAGGAAATATGTGCAATAATTTAATTTTTGAGCTCTTAATCTATAATATTCAAGCCTCATTAAGCCATCCACGTAGCAAGCCGTGTGAGATTCACTTTTTGTTTTGTTTTTTGGTCTGTTCATGTTTGGATTTATTTTTTATTATTGTTGGGTTGAGCTATATTATAGTATGATAGTTTTAAGGCTCTTTAAGTCATCTGCGTAGGCAACCGCGTGAGACTTGTTTTTTTTTGTTTTTTTATTGTTCATTTTTCGATTTATTTTTAACTATTTTTGGCTTTGAACTTGTTAAGTTCTAGGGATAACTATTTTGATCTTTAAAACAATAAGCCCAAAAAAAAACACATAAAAATCTTATAAACAAAAAGCCTATATTATAATAACCAAATAAACAAAAAGCAAAAATAAATGATAGCTGTGTGGTTTGAACCCACGATCTTGCATGCAAAATAAACACCTTATACCACTTGGCTAAAGTATATTTTATTGTTTGTAATCACCTTACCAAAACTATGGGTGTTTAAAAAATACCTACGAGACCCACAAAACTGCTAACATGGCGCGCTGTGGAGCCTAGAAAGTCTACTATTATAATATAGATTGTTTCTAAAACTAGACCATTATTATAATTGGTAGTAAATTACATTAGCTTATCAAGTCACGATAAAACTAGGATGGATGGCTCTCATCAATAAAGAACTATTATTGACTACCAGCGGCTAAGGTTTTTCGCGATGGAAAAGGCGATTTCCTGTTTCAACTCCACTTGATCACGATCCAGGATCACGACATCCTCAGCTTCACCGCCATAATCATAAGGGATACTATCCTACACTCCTTGTGATTCAAGCGTCCTATCTGGTTAGCGGAAGGCAATCTATTGGCGTATCTCCCAAGTATCATTCCCGAACTCTGTTCATCTCAATGAAGATTCGTGATACGATTCATTTGTTTGCGTTTCTTCTAAATCCTTCTATTGAAGTACTGATCCACTGGATTAGTATATCCTTTGATGTATTGAGTCCTCTCGAAGTAATCCACCACTACTATTGCGATCTTCTAAGGGTTTGTTCATTTTTTGGGATCGGTAATGGGTGTATCACTTCCTTCTGAACCGTACTCTGTTTTGATCTATCTGCAACACCACTACTGTGATCCAAATAACCTCGTACTAATGTATTGGGGATCTGGTTGCGGTTCCGACGGACCCATTATCTTTGTATGAGGTCATCAGCTCGATCTTGGTATGTTCATATGGTAGACATCAAAGGAAAATGGTTTCTTTATGAGGATGATGATGAACCGATTAAGCTCACTAAGCAAGATGATTCTTTTGTTAAAAAATAATACCGTATGTCTCTGATTGGTAAGGTTTTCAGTCCTAAGAAGCAAAATGTTGCGAACTCATTGGGAATGATTTAGGTAATGGCAAGTTCTTATTCCATTTCACAACTGAAGAAGAACTGAACTCTGTGCTCAAAAAAGACTCGTTCCGTTACAACTACTGCATGTTTGTATTGGTGAGGTGGGAGCAGATCGTCCAAGACGACTATCCTGGATCATTCTTTTCTGGGTTCATTTTATTGGAATGCCTCTTCACCTATGGACGAAGAGAAATCTGAGGAATATAGGAGGCCGACTTGCTCATGTTGATACTATTGATCTATCAAAGAGAGATGCTTCTAATTGATATTGATTCAAGGAAATCATTAAAGTTTAAGAGAAATGTCCAAAGTCGTGAGGGAGAGGAGATCACCATCGATATTAAGTATGGTATGCCTTTCAAGCGTTGCACCATCTGTGGGCTAATGACCCATGATAAAAGTACTGTCCAACTATGGAGCCTATCTCTTGTGCTCCACTAGAGAGAGGTGACGTCTTTACTTGTGTCCAGCTACCTTAAGATCAGCATGGTCGTCAGTCTTTGCTGAGAGACCAACGTGACTTACAACGTCATCATAGAGGCCCTGAACTCAGTAATGGTCGTCAAGCTTTGGTTGGGTCGTCTTGACTTGCTTCACAAAAGATCAGCAGAAGTACGGAGCTGGAATCACATCTTTCTGATCCACGAAATAATGGATACGAAGAGAGATATAAGGACTCGGAGTCTTATCAATCGTGTTATAGAGGCGATAACAATCACATTCTTCATCATTCTGATCAGATCATCAAAGGACAAGATGACAATCCAAGACATAATCTATGGTGCTGGACCTTATGATCGCAAAACGAATCACACTTGGCGTGAGAAAGTTGTTACGGAATTTAGCTTTAGTTTACTTAGGTTTCAAGTAATCTTAGATCTAGTTATTGATATATCATGATTTTTACCCACTTTTAGTCATGGTGTATGAGTGTTTTAATAACTATTTATTATATTATAGAGGATTTTTAGAGTATTTACAGGTTTAGGTACGTTCTGGAGGTATTTTTAGAGACCTTCCCACCATTAGCTATGGATGGACACGTTCCAATGCCACCGGTTTGAGGTCAATCAGCATTCAGTAGCAGAGGTTATGTCCGTTTTACTAAACAGTGGTCAGTCTGCCTCGCGAGAGGAAGCTGTCGAGAAGATAAAGGAAAATCGACCGATGCAGCACTACTTGCATTGCATCGATGGGGATCCCATAACGCGGATCAAGTATACTACAAGACTGACTTAAGCCTAGAAGAAATCCAAATTACCATGATACCCATGGATGATCAGAAACCTTATTTAAGTGTTTTGTAAGCCATTGTTGACGCCCTACGCTTTCTTTTACATCTTTTGTTTCATAGTTCTTAGTTAGGAGAGAAGAGGGGAACTCCTTTAGAGTCCTCTTGGAACTCCATTGATTCTGGTTTTATTTATATTTATGATCTTCATCTATGATTTCTGTGACAACTATCATGCATGAGTAGATCCACCTGTTAGGTTTAGGAATTTCTAGGGTTATGAATGAACTTCTGAATTATATGATTGCTAGGATACTATAGATCTCTACACCATGGTAGCTTGTAATACTAGAATCTGTAATTGTTAGAAAGGCACGATAGTGTGACTAATTGTTTGTTCCTAAAATCATAGGACAATTGAGAGGCACAAGAGTGCAATTAATTAACGGAACCCGAGCCCTGCTGGATTAGATACCTAGACGCATAGTAGTGTTGGTTTGGGAATCTAGTTGAACGAAATCGATCAGATCAATAACGCTTAACTAAGGCAGCATCAATCGATGCTCATATCATAGCATCGATCGACGCTCGTACAGTAGAATCGATTGACGCTCATTTCATAGCATCGATCGACGCTCAAGTCGTGTTGGCATGCGAATGCTAAAACACTGAACTTAGTCAATAGATTAGACTCACAGTGAAAACTGGTTGTCTTTTGCATTAGATATCGAGTTTTATAATGAAACGTTAGCATCTATAGATTAGAGATCTAATAACCTGAATGAAACCCTAAGTCTAGTAACCATCTTTCCATCAAACAACTCTCTTCCAAGATGAACAATTGTCTTGTTCATCTTGTTTACTGTTTTATTGAAATTTACTTTCTTCACTACTTTATAATTTATTTACTGCTTTATTATTTATTTACCAAGAT